CACTCCCTGGCCACAGCAGAGGGCTGGCCTGGAAGAGGGGCAACCGGGACAGAATCCGGCGCCCCGACCGGGACTAGAACCCGGTGTGCCGGCGCCGCTAGGCGGAGGATTAGCCTAGTGAGCCGCGGCGCCGGCCTGGATTGAACTCTTGGCTCCTAGTTTGAGCCTGGCCTCACCCCAGCTATGTGGGCATTCAGCAAGTAAATCAGCATGTGGGATCTGTGTGTGTGTGTGTGTGTGTGTGTGTGTCTGTCTCACTGACAAAACAATACTGTGACCTATGCGGTATAATAGTGCAATATTATGCAAATATTACTGAAATGAAGACATCACTTGAATGTTGAAGGGTTCTTAGCATTTTGCAGGGCATCTATTATCAATATTTCAATGAAGACTAAAACCCTTCATCATCAGTTTACTACACTTCAACTCTAGGTTTTTATCTTTAAAATCTGTTGATGTGCTGACATTGAACATGTTAAGCTGCTGCTTGTGACACTGGCATCTCCTATTAAAGGGCGGGTTCTAGCTTGACTGTTTGCATACAGTTTCCTGTGTGGGAAGGCTCTTGCCACCCATGGAATAGACTATAGTGGAGTTCCTTGCTTGTGGCTTAGGCCTGACCCATAGCTAGCTGGTGTGGTAATTCGGGGAGTGAACCAGTGGATGGAGTATCTCTCTCTCTCTCTCTCTCTCTCTGCTTCTATTTCTCTCTTGAAATCTGTTTTTCAAGTAAGGGAAAAAATCTTTAAAAATGACTTTCAGAACTTCATATTATATTTGGTATGTTGTTTGTAAATATTTCAAATATAATTTCATTGATTCCTTATTGTGTTGTGGTAAAAGAATGTGGCCTGAGTAAAATAGGTTATGTATTATATATTGATGAAATACTGCTCTTTTCTAATATCTATTAATTTTACTAAATGTCCTATGTATTGTTGGCTACAAGACTTTCTCAATTTATGTACAAGCAGGTGGACTGACTTCTTTATCCCTGTAAAACTAATACTTGTTTTGTGGAACACTGGGGTTTTTTCTTGATTTTATGTGTATATAATTTTTTCTTGCTTTTATGTGTATATACTTTATACACGTTTGTGTGTATATACTTCTACTGACAAGTCCCATCTATTGTAGAGATTTTGGTTAAAGACAAATGCTCAAGATATATATGTCATTTATGTTGGTATTCACAATGAATACATGTATAATTTTATAACTGACTTATATTTGTAAAAAAATCATTAAAACTTTTAACATCTAATTTCAAAAGAAATTTGTCTATGAGACAAAAATTGTGAGGTAATCCTACAATGAATTCCTATGAGTCCCTCAACCTATTTCCACTGTTAACATCTCATATTAGTGTATTTGTCAAAATTAATGAACTACACCCAGTTTCCACTTCTTTTTTATGAAATTTATTTATTTATTTATTTATTTGAAAAGCAGTTAGAGATAGAAGCAGAGAGAGGTCTTCCATCTTATGGTTTACTCCCAAATGGCTGCAATGGACAGAGCTGGGCTGATCCAAAGCCAGGAGCTTCTTCCACATCTCCCACGTAGGTGCAGGAACCCAAGCACTTGGGCCATCTTCCACTGCTTTCCCAGGCCATCACCAGAGAGCTGCATCACAAGAGGAACAGTGAAGACTTGAACTGGTGCCTGTAGAGGATGCGGTGCTGCAGGTGGCGGCTTTACCTGTTATGCCAAAGTGCTGGCCCTCCACCACTCTTTAAATACAAACTCCTTTGATCGCTCTCACCCCTCTAAGTACCCAGTAATCAACATTGTGGGTTCAGAAGGGATGTCTGTTTTCTTTTTTTTTTTTTTTTTTCAATTTTGGCTCTTACATATAAGGGAGAACATACAGCTTTATCTTTCTTTCTCTGGCTTATTTCATTCAACATTATGTCCTTTATATATTTTGTAAAAATTTCACCCCCCAAAACTACATTTATCAGTATTCTGTTTTTCTCATCAGTTCTCACGTTAATGTGATCAATAATACAAAGAGAACAGATTCAGTGTAGTTCATAGATACAATTCTAAGAATATAATGGTACTTCCCTTCTAAAGGCAAATAGTAGTACTGTTAAACATTGTCAGGCCTTAAAGATGACAATCTATTTACAAAAGCAAATGTATAATCATATTTGAGAAGTCATTCTCTTTGCCTTTATATTTTCCCACACATTCATGGATGGCAGCAGAGGAAAAAAAATTCTCATAAATTAAGTTGCTGGTCTCTGTAGGAAAATGCATAATGTTAATGCTAACAAGTAATTTAAAGAATATCACCTCTTTCAAACATTCAGAATATATTGAAGTCTTTACCAAGAGTTTTTTCACTATTCTCACTACTATAATTTAGTCATTTCTTTATTGTATTGAAATTAATACAGGTTATTTCATGGCATAATGAATGGTAGTCAATGGTTTTATGTAAATTATCCTTTATCACTTCTTCCCCTACATCTAGATACAGTCTCAAGAGATATTCACATTTTATTGTTTTCATTTTTAATTCTTTTGATGATTATTAATGTAATTCTAAATGGTCCAATCATTTCTTTTTATTTCTTTGTTTTCACTCTGATATTTATTAATAAGCAACCATCTTAGACAAGGAATTTAATTAGCACTTTCCCCTTCTTTCTGTGTTTGCTTTTTTTAGTTTTGTTATTGTTTATATAGCTTTATGTAATGTAATTAAAACTTTATTGCTCATTCCAATAATTCTGGATGTTATGGAATTATGGTTTTAAGCTTCATGACTAATTGCCAGTATAAAACTGGCTTCAGTGTTGCTAGCTTAGCAGCTGTACAGAAATAAGTAGACCAAGGTGATTAGTGAGGATGTTCTCAAATATTGTGATCTAGTCTCATTTAGTGTTTTAACAGAGCAGCTTGGAATCAGTGCCTTAAATTTCTATATAAGGAATTAAGTAATTTCAAAACTCCAGAGGCTGTTTAGAATTTCCTTTATATTTTTCTTATTTTGGGAAGCAGGATGGTACTATAGAAATTCTTCAGGTTGAAAATTCCTTCACAGGATTTCAATGGTGCTGCCTCTTTGGAAAAGATACTGCAGATTTAATTATGTCAATCACTAATAAAATAGCTGAAGTGTAAACTGATGTTGGCTAACACAAGATCTCTTTGTAAAATAGCTAGAAAGAATTGGTTAACCCTTTTTTCACGCTTGATTTCTTTTTTTTTTCTTTTTTTTCTTTTTTTTCTTTTTTTCTTTCTTTCTTTTTTTTTTTTTATTCGAAAGTCAGAGTTAGAGAGAGGGAGAGTCAGAGATTAATTTTCCATCTGCTGGTTCACTCCACACATGGCCACAACAGCCAGGGCTGGGCCAGACTGAAGCTGGGAGCCAGCAGATTCTTCTGGGACTCTCTCAAGAATACAGGGGCCCAGGGATTCGGGCCATCCTCTGCTGCTTTCCCAGGCACATTAGAAGGGAGCTGAAATGGAAGTAGAGCAGCCAGGACTCCCACCTGCTCCTACATGGAATACTGGCATCACAGGCAGTGGCTTTACCTACAATACCACAGCACTGGCCCCTTGGTTAACTTTTAACTCCTGTGTCCAAACATAGAAAGTTTGAAAAGCCTGAGAGGGTTTTCAGTTGAGTACAAAATAGAAACTATTACATATACTAAACTCAGCTATTGAGAAGGTGCTTCTGTGTGCGTGTGTGTGTGTGTGTGTGTGTGAAAGAGAGAGAGAGAGAGAGAGAGAGAGAGAGAGAGAGAGAGGAAGACATGGGCAGGAATAAGAAGAAAAGTTTATTGGAAGTGCTCTTTTCTGTGAAAGAAACAATCATATGGAAGCCATAGAGTGATTCTGATGTTGATTTGATATGTTTATGGTTCTGAATCACTGTTTAAACAAGAGAATGAATATTAGTAATTTGCTACCATCAGCAGTTATTTATTTGCAGGAAAATATCAATAGCATTTAAACCAGTGACAGCCTAGTCAATAATGACTCACGAGAGCCCGTAAGATGTATTTGGTGTCCAAAATGTTGGTCAATAATTACCTTTCATTATTACAATTTCAATACAGATTTAAGTGTTGTACATAATAGGTTACTATTACTGCTCATTTATGTGCATGCCTTCACATTGCACATTCTTCTAAGAACTGAAATACTGAGTACATGAAATATCTTCATGTTCTGTCATTCAGGAAGAAATACTATAGAGAAACATTGCAGTAATTCCTTTGAACATGAACTTTTCATATATTGAGACAGTCTTTGCTTTATTTCCCTTTAGATCGGCCACTTATATATTTAGAATGGATGCTGCAGGAACTGTAATATTTCTGTGTTCTAGTAGTATTAGTTTAGGAAAAATGTTAAAAGGTATTCCTAGAAAATGTGCCAATGCTGCTCTCTTCTAAGATATGACTTGGGCAAATCGACATACTTAAGTCTTTAAAAAGACCTGCCATTGAAATGCAATGTTCTTTCTTTTTTAAAAAAAAAAAAAGTTAACTATTTCTTTGAGAGGTAGTGAGACCGAGAAAGAGCTTCCCTCCACTGGTTCACTCCCTACACTGGCCTGCAATGGAGAGAGGTGGATAGTGGACCAAAGCTGGAAGGGAGGAAGGAAAGCAGGCCATCACCACTGATTCCCAGGGTCTGCATTAGTAGCAAGCTGTAGTCAGGAGCTAAAGTCAGGCATTAAATCCATGTGCTGTGATGTGGGCCCTGGCATCTTAACCCCTGAGCCAACCAGCTGCCCCCAGTATAAAATTCTACCTATGTAACAATTATATCTTTTTATTTTGACCTTGAAACACCTCACTCCCACTTGAGGCTCAGAATTCACTAGTATATGGTATTAGGTAATAAGTTTTGAAATTCGAATTTTGCTATTGAATCAGGTATTTTCTGTCTATGCAAAGCAAAATATTTTAGTGTCAGTTCTTTGGGTGTTAGTAATGCAGCTAAACTAATCTCTCTCGATTTTTTTCCAGGAAGAACTGAACCCCATTGTTGTTACCCCCCCAATCCAAGCCATTGATCAGGACCGGAATATTCAGCCACCATCAGATAGGCCAGGAATCCTGTATTCCATCCTTGTTGGTTTGTATCTGCTAACATTTTACAATATCAATTATTGCTCTAGAATCATAAGGAAAAATGTTGCTCAAATCAAAGGATACACTTAAACATTTCTTATTGGAAATGATTTTTCGTATGTGTAAACAAATTTAATAATACTAATTTGCTCATTATAATTTGTTTCAATAAGATTTGTAGAATACTAATGAAAAAACTTTTATAGAAGAAGCAAAGCAACTTAATATAATAGGATATTAGTCTTTATTGAGGCAGTTACCTCCATATCAACTTATAAATCATTCTCTATGAATAATGTTACAAATCAAGTGAAAAATTCAGACTGTGTACTGGTACTTTATCACTGATGGGCTATTATATATAATTCTTCTAACATATGACTGAATTAAAAGGCCATTTTGCAGCCATGTGGGAGAAGGAAACGCATCATGATTAGCCCTAGGGTGCAGATGCGTTATCCCCTAGTTAGTTTTTTCTTGAAAAATTCCATGGAAGCTGTCCTAATGTATCTATAAGCATATGCTGGTGATTGTACCCAAAACAGAAATGATGAGAATTTTATTATGCTGCTTGTCTCAAATTGCTTTTGTTGAAATATGGATATCGCAGATTTACATTGTTTATAGCCTTGAGAGAGACAGATGCATGTGAGACAGACCACACATCATTTAATGAAGAAGGGGCCAGTTTTGAAGAGTTCTTGAAAAATAAGTTTAATGTAATTCGGCATTAGCCCTCAACCCCATTCTGTCTTCTTGCCTGCAGTCTGCATGCACACCCACATAGCACAACATCTAACAGATGTTAGACAATTTCTAAAATATTATACCATAGTCTGTTTAGAAATGCTGTCTGCAGAGAAAATTCAAGTAATCTGTTTCAAGAGTTTGGTCTTTAGAATGGCACACATGTACTATGCCAGTTGCAAAAACCAACAAACTTTTAAAAAGCTTTTATGAGCATAAGTCTCTTTTTAGTCTGTAGAGTTCTTGGCATAGACAACAAGAAATAGACGTCATTCATGGCATTGAATGACAGCTTAATAATATCTAAGTCACTGTGCCAAATGCTTGAATTACAAAGGTAAGATAGAAAATGATCTAGGCTTAAGAAGAGAGGAGCCATAACTAGAAAGATGCTGAAATATAGAAGAGCATTTTAGGGCACACATTTGGCATAGCAGCTGATGCTGCTGGAGACACCTTTGTCCCATCCTTGAGTGCCTGGGTTTAAAGTGATAGTCAATACCAATCCCAACTTCCTGCTAATGTGTGTAATGTGAAGCAGCAGGTGCTGGCTCAAGAAGTTTGTTTTCTCACCCATGTTTAAGACACAGATTGAATTCTCAGCTTCCAGCTTCGGCCTGACCCAAGCTTGGCTTTTGCAGACATTTGGAGAGTTCACTAGTGCTTGCATTCTCCCTCTCCCTCTCCCTCTCCCTCTCCCTCTCCCTCTCCCTCTCCCTCTCCCTCTCCCTCTCCGTCCCCCTCCCCGCCTCCTCCACCCCCTCCGAGTGTGTGTGTGTCTTGTTCCCTCTATACATTGAAAATTAGTAATTTTATAAAATACTTATCATATGGTTTCAGAAGAGAGGAAAACATTAAATAATTCTGTGAGAATTCTTTGCAAAGAGTCATTTCAGAAGAAACACTGATATTTCCAGGTGGAAATGGAAGAAAATTATCTATATTGTGTATGTAGCAAGTGCAAAAGCTAAATTATGAAATTTAAGATTGTAATTGGAAAAAATGCTACTCAGAGGAGAATTTCATCCACTGATATTCATAGCATACAATGTATTATTTCAGTTTCAAAAACCATGTTCATTCTTTCAGCAATTGAGTACATACTCTCTGTGGAACAAGACAGAATCTTGAATTTGTGAAGCTAGTTTTCAGGCAGTGGAGACAGACAAGAGATCATTTTTTTTTTATTATAGAAGGTAGAATATGGGAAGTTATGGGAAAGGGGGAGCAGGATGAGTCAGTTTGAAAGTACAGGAGGGGTACATTATTATAAGTTGCATTGTATATTACAGTATTAATAGGAATTGGAATCATCAAATGGGAAGAGAGGTGAACTAAGATTATCAAATCTAAGAAGTAGAGAGAAAAAGTAATGCAGTAAAATGAGAACTGAACACCTGACAACAATGAAATCACATTGCTATACCAATATATGCGTAATGGAAATCCCAGAGAGTGAGAAAGAATATATACATTAAAAGTGATCCAAAACATCATAAAAATAAGGAAAACATTAATCTACATATCCAAGAAACTCAAAGAACTCTGATTAGGATAAATTCCATACTTAAACACATCCTAATCAAACTGTTAAATTACACTTAAGTAATTTTAGAAGACCAAAATTAAGAAGGGGTATCATTTGATACCATTTGATACAATTGGTCCTAAATAAACTATACCCTATTTCTTAAACCAGGAAGGTCAAGTAGAAGGCAGACAGAATATAGTTTCAAAGTGTTGAAAGAGAAAAGCAAGTTAGCTAGTGATTCTGTGCATAGAAATCTATCATTCAACAATGAATGAGCTTTTGTCTTTCAGTGTCTGACATATTTCACTCTTATGATGTCCTCTATTCCACCCATTTTGCTGCAAATAACGGAATTTTATTTTTACAGCTGAATTGTATTCCATTGTATACATATTGCCACATTTTCCTTATCAGTTTATCTAAGACGGACACTTTAGTTTATTGCATATCTTGGCTATTGTGAGTGGTGCTGCTATAAACATGGTGGAGCACCTATCTACTTGATAAAATGTGTCCACATCTTATGGGTGTACACCCATTAGTTGGATTACTGTATAATACAGCTGATGAACTATGATTCAATGGATCAAGAAAAATTTTCAGTCTGATTTTATCTCAGATATGCTTGAATCTCCATACTTTAGACTCAGTAACATGACTGATTAAGCCCTTTTAACAGGAGCAGTGAAAGTGAATTTTCTGCTTTTTTTTAATTGTTGTTAACTTCTCTATGCATCATCACTTTTATCTTTAATCTCAGGTGCATTTATAGAAATATTTCTCAGTTAATTACCCATTTTGGTGTTAGTCTGCTAAAAAAATGAATGACATACTACAAAATATAGCTCTCTTTCCTAACTAACCAAGTATAAAACAAAACCCCTTAAAATGTAAGAAAAGTAAACAAAGGATGATGCTTATGATGATTAATTTTATTTTTCAATTTGAATGTGCTTATAAATCTTCAAATATTTGGTCCACATATCTTGGTGAGTCTATGAGGGTCTGTGAAGAAGAAAGTCGCCCTTGAGTTAGTACACAGAGAAAGGAAGATGTATTCTCATTAATGTTAATGTGAGTGGGCATCATTCAAAACTGGGAGGGCCTCAATGGGCGAAAGGGGCAGGGGAAAGGTGAATTCTGTCTTCCCATGCTGTGACATCTCTCTCTCCTGCTCCTGAACATAGGAGCACTTGTTTCTCAGCCCTTGAGATTCTATTGTATTCCGTGTTCCTGTCCTGCCTTTCTGATTTTGAGCCCTCTAGACTAGGCAGGGTCACCTTGCTAGATTTTTCAATTCACCAGCTTGCAGTTGGCAGGTCAAAGAATTTCTGGACCTCCATGACTGTGTGAAATAATTTCCATAAACAATCTCTTTTCTTTTCCCTCTTTCTCTCTCAATTATCTAATATCATACTACCTAATATTAGTTATGTTTCTGAGGCAAACCCTAATACCCTATTTTTTTTATCCTTTTATAGTGTATATTTGTTCTACAATCTATTTTTTTTAATTTTATTTGACAGGTAGAGTTATAGGCAGTTGGTTCACCCCCCAAATGGCCACTATGGCCGGCACTGCACCAATCGGAAGCCAGGAGCCAGATGCTTCCTCTTGGTCTCCCATACAGATGCAGGTGCTTCCTCTTGATCTCCCATACAGATACAGTGGGCTGTCCTCCACTGCCCTCTCAGGCCACAGCAGAGATCTAGACTGGAAGAGGAGCAACCAGGACTAGAACCCGTGGTGCCCGCGCCGCAGGTAGAGGACTAGCCTAGTGAGCCGCAGCGCCGGCCGAATACACTGGTTACTGCAAAGTACTAATCATTCATGTGTCTTCTGGAGATCAGTATGTATTGTAACGGCTTTTGTTTCTACAAAGGAAATTGGGGAAGTATTCGTTAGTAACATTTGACTTAGACTGGTTATAAATTCCTACATATCTACAATGTAATAATTTTCCATATGAGCTAGAGGACATAAATCTCTTTTATTTGTCTGTCCAAGGATAAGCCAAAAAGTTCATGAAAAGGGAACTGAGTTTATTTTGATGCAAAAATTTTTGAAATGTATGCATATGACAGTTCTGCAAAAAGTTCATGGGAGTACATATTATGAAAAAATGTGCATGGATTTTATTATTTTGCATCCAAATAAACATTTTTAAAACCATTTTAAAATTTAAAACATTTTAAAATCCTTTGAATTTTTGAGTATGTTGTATCATTTTACTAATTAAATATTACCTATTACAGTTTTCATTCCCAGTAGACAAAAATATTTGCTGTTATACGGGTAGTCAGTCAGAGATGTAACTAGGAACATTCAAAGCAGTTTTACCTCTAACTGAACACTACTAAATTGCACCATCAAGTGAATAGATAAACATAATGTGATATATCCATACAATAAAATAATACTCAGGACAATGAAAAGAAATAAAAACTATTCATATCCAAAACTGCATCAATTTCAAAACTCTTATTAGATGAATGAAGCCAGTCCTTCCTCTACCCTAAACAGAATATATATTTTATAAATCTGTATACATTATTCCATTAATATTCATTTGTTTTTTTAAGAAAATAATAAGAGAAAGTGATTAGTGCTTAGATGGAAGTGGAGAATAAATATGGGGAAAAGAGAGAACAGAATCCTGAAGAAATATCACACAGTAAGGAATAGATTCATAATCTTAACTGTAGTGATGGTATCTTAACACAAAA